CGCGGGACGTGGATGAGAGCCGACGGGTGTCACATCTCGCCGCCTCCCCACGCAGCCTGGAAGGAGAGCCGGGGCGGGCAGGCCCCTCACCCCGATTAGCAGCAGCCCGCATCCCCGCGGCGGTCAGTCTCGCATCCCCACAAACCCCCCGTGCTATCCCGTTCTTAACCCAGGGGAGTCACGGCCAGAGCATCCGCCAGCAGAGCTGAGAGCTTAGCTGAGATTTAACAACAACAACCAAAAAAAATTATTAGATATTTTGGGGAGATATTCAAGAGCAGTTAAATATGCCCAACTCATCGGCGCCTTTGAAAAATCTCACCCCTTTAAAAAATTAGAATTGATTTTGTATTTAAAAAGGAATCTATTTAATTTAAAAGTAAGATAATTTGAAATCATGACAGCTTGTATTAAGACCCAAGTTTATGATAATCTATTAAAGTAATTGAAGTTAAGAACCTTCTCCCATCCCCTGCTGCCAAGGCTCCTATGAAGGTGATAGGAACTAGGGGAAGTGGAGGGGCGAGGGGCTGCACTGTCCCCCTTTCCAGGCATGGCTGTTGGGCTGGAGTCTGGCGAGGCATAAAAAACTCCTTTGGCTCTTCCACACTCAGAGTAAAAAAAAAAAAAAACAAAAAACAGGACATGAGAAACCATCCGGTATTTCAAGATCTTGAATTACCCAGCGCCCAGAAAGCGTGGGTTTGACCCATCAGCTCCACTGCCTCATTCCCCAAGTCCATTTTATGCACAAAACCACATTTCAAGACCTCGCTTTTCAAAGTTCTAGTGCATTACTTGGGTGAAGGAGTCAAAGGCGCCGTCTTTCACGTGTTTTTTAATTGCATCGCAAATCTCAGCCAAACCCAGGGGCCGTGGGAAGCCAGGATGCTAATAAATACCCCGCTCACCGGTTTATAACCTGTGAAGGATGGGGCCCAAAAAAAATTAGCAGCCCGCAGGAGTGTGAATCCGGTTAATGACATATCAAATGTAGCTGGATGTTGCCGAGCCAAGCAGAGAAGAAGAAGGGGGTGTGAAGGTTAGCGGACAGGGAATATTGAGCTGCTAATTAGCATTTCTTAATGGCCACTGACCAGCGAGACTCAGCCTCCCTTCAGGAAAAAATACAACTAACGCCACAAACACAAAACGAGATGAAAGGTGACCATTTCCAATGGACGTTTCCTTGATTTAAAGCAGGATGAAACTGGGTGATTTTAAACGCAGGCAGCCTGGCGCGCACCAGCGAGCAGCCCCATCCCTGCTTCCACACCCTCGCCGCTTCCCAAAAATTCAGGAGGTGGGAAAAAACCCTGCAGCAAAATGGGGGGATGGTGTTGGAGGCCCTTTGAGGACATGCATTAAAAAAAAAAAAAAAAAAAAAAAAGTGGGTTTTTATGGGTATGAGCACAAAAGGCGATGCACGTGGGGAAAGTGTGCTCTGAGCTGCTCCTGAGCAAACGCGGGCAGTGAGGCAGCACAGGCACAGGAAGGCGGCCAGCACGCAATTAAAACATGCTCCATTCGTTAGCAAAAGGAGCTGCGAAGCAGCTGAAAGCCCTGCCCAAGCATCTCCCCTCACCACAAGCCAGCGGTAATAATCCCCCAAAACTAACCCTCTGCTTTCAGAGGAAGGTGGGAGCAGCCAGAGGGTCCCCGGGTTTGGGAGGGCTGAGCACCGACGCCACTCGACACATCCAACTCCGGCACTGGGATGGCCACGAGGGGGGATGAGACCCAAAAATGGTGTGCGCAGAGCAAGCAGCAAGCAACGCCTCACCCTTCTCAGTTAAAGATAAACACAAAGCTGAAGTCGCAGGGCAAGGGGATCAAGGTGAGCCAAAGCCAGCGCGTCCCCCGGGGCTCCTGGCTGAGCCCCCCACAGCTCACCGCTACCCACAGTGTGGAGGAGCAAACACGTGAAGGGGCTGGATGCCAGTCCCCACACATGACTGTCCCACCGTCCCCCCGCAGACCCCGAGGTCGGGCAGACGGCCCCCGGGTCCCCATCATCCCCGCTGGCGCAGGCGAACCCCAGCAGACCTTGTCTTGGGGGGGTGTGTGGGGGGGTGTGGGGTCCCACAACCCCCGCACTCATCGTTAAGTTGATTATGTTCCCGGAGCATTTTGTCAGGGTTGGGGAGTGATAGCTAATTTTGGAGTGCCCAGTTCAACACACACCCCTGGCACCCCATTTTTAGCACACAACGTACGTGGCGTTCCAAAGACCCCGGTGTGTCTCCAGCTGGGGGAGAAACCTTGACCCAGGTGCCCATCGGTGGGGTGCCCAGGGGTTTTGAGGGGCACAGCCAGCCACAGAAGGGGATGACACCCGGATACCCCTGGGGTCTCCATTCCTGTTCCTTTGCTGACTGCTCACCCCACCCCTTCCCCCTGCCGCAGCCGCCTTCCCCGCACGCTCCTTCCACCTTTGTGGGGAAACTGAGGCACGGAACAACCCCTCCGGAACCTCTTCCCTGGATCCTCCTCGGATCTGAAAACCATCAAGAAGAGAAGGAGCAGTCACCCAGCTCCCTCCCCAGTAGCGATACCTCAAACCAGACCTGTCTCAGTGGCACAGAGGTGGGTGTGGGGGGATTATCCGCTGCTCCAACACGTTATTGTCCGTTCAAAACGCAACAAGGTGGGCGCAATTAATGGGTCTGGGGTTTTCCAGGGACGATGAAACCAGCATTGCATGAAGCCAGGATCCCAGAAGGATGTTCAAACGCACCCTCCAGCCCACGCACAAGGGCTCGTGGAAATACAGACGACACCAGTTCCACGCATCGACCCGCCGTGGCCGCGTCCCCGCCGAGTGAGCCGCACCAGCAGTGACACTCTGTGCCCCACGGGTTTCCTGGGCTGGGGGCTCTCTGGCTCCAGAGGATGCGGCCTCTGAGTTATCAAGTCGGGGTCTTGCAAGACCTCTATGAAACTTTTGGGCTTCTGGCATGCAAAAGCAGTGCTCAGGCTAACAGTAATAATAATAGTAATAATAGTAATAATAGTAATAATAGCAGTAATAATAGTAATAATAATAATAATAATAATAATAATATCACCACCACCCATACATGTCAAAGCAGCACCATAATAATAATAATAATAATAATAATAATAATAATAATAATAATAATAATAATAATAAATACCCACACATGGCAAAGTGGCCATGCCACTTTCAAGCAAGCCCTTCTCTCCCGGGAGGGAGGGAGATCTAACATGGCATTTCGCAGGAGTCACCAAGCCAAAACCCTGGCAGACAGGGGGCCAGCGGTGTGCCCCGTCCTGCCAGCCCAGCCCCACCACCCTGGGCAGGGACACTTGTGCTGGGGTCACCTCTGTGTCCCCACAACCCCCTGCGTGGCGGGGGGCTGGTGCAGCTCTCGGGTGAGCAGTGTCCCCGGGCAGCATCCCAGGCCCCGGGGGCCCATCGGGGTCCGGCTCCCCGGGAGCGGGTCCAAAAGAGGGGCAGGGGACAAGCGCCCGTGTCACCTTCGGGGCGTCAAGGTGGCGCGGGGCTGGCGGCCATGCCTGCGCGTCCCCCCTGCATCCGCCGAGCTGCCGCCCCGTTGCCACAGCAACGTTCTCCGGCCTCCGCCGCAGCATCCCGCAGCACAGGGCTTGGACCGGGGGGGGCAGCACAGCCCATTTTCCCCACCCCACACGGCCCCCCCCAGCCTCAAGCAAACCGTCCCTGGGTGTCCCCACATGCCCTCCCCTCCTCCCCACCATCAACACCCTCCCCCGCCTGCCTCTGCCTTTCTCACAGGAGAAGGGGGATGCCCACGCAGCAGCAAGCGTTGCCCCGTGCCCACGCAGCACCCAGGACTGGGGTGTTTTTTGGTTTTTTTTTGTTTTGTTTTTTATTTGCAAACAGAGGGGTCTGGATGCCACAGAGGTGACGGAGGGCTGGAGAGAAAACCCAGGTTGGGGTCACCGCTCTGCCCGCACACAAGAGTGGCACGGAGGGGCAGTGCCACACAAAGTAATGTGCCTGTGCTTCATTTTTGGGCCAACATCCAGACAAGGGTGGTGTTTTAAAAACTTCACAGGGCACCCAAGGTGCTGTGGGAGCAGCGATGGATGGGTGAGGCTTGCGGGAGGTGTGAGCATCCTTGCTTGGGGCGGGGGGGTTACGTGCAGGCAGTGGTCAGAAACTGGTATTCTGCACAAATATCACTAAAAATTAAAAATCTCCGCAACTTGTTCCAGGTGATGTGGAGGGAAGCAGGTCCCTGCACACAAGCGGCAGAGGCCTTGCTCTGATCCCAGCATGAACAAAGGAGCAAATCACTGGCTTTTGGAGGAGAGGAAAGCTGAAGCAGCCCACCAAATCTGGGCAGTTGAGCCTCACACGCAGTGGGTGAAGCGCAGAGGCCTGGCTAGAGCGGGTGGGAACCACCTGGACCGCGTGAGCAGGCCAAAGCCAAAAACCTGGGGGCAGGGGCACTAGAGACAGCACACACAGGTGGGGTGGGAAGTGCTGGGCCCCGAAGATATTTTTCCACCCGGCTGCAGGAAAGGTGACTCTGCTTGGGGGCAGACAAAGCAGAAACCCTCACCTCCAGCCGGGCACGCTGGAAGCAGACTGTGGGCCTCCTGCCAGCATGAGCCGTGCACCGAGCTGGAGACAAACCCCGCGGATGACAACCCAGGGACATGCCGAGCTCCCCCCAGGCCTGCAGCATCTCCACGGCGGCCAGCCCGGTGCTGCAACCGGTGCGGCGATGCTGCAGCAGGATGAACCGGCCCCGGGGGAGCCGAGATGCTGCGGCGGGGTGACCGATGCCACGGCCGGGCCGTAAATGCTGCAGAGGGGTAAACCGGGGCCGAGAAGCCGCAGGGTTCCCGCAGGCCGGTGCCGCAGGGAGGAGCCCCGCCGCCGGGGATGCTCGGGTCCCCGCCGCCGGGGATGCTCGGGTCCCCGCCGCCGGGAGGGGAAGGGACCCGCCGCGTCCCGGTGCTGCCCGCAGGCCCGCCCGGAGGCTCACCCAGCACGAAATAAGGCAGCTCCGTATTCTCCAGGTCATCCACCACCACCATCTCGCCGGGGAAATCGTTGCGGACGGAGAAAAGCAGCTTGGGCTCGGCGGCCGAGGGGCCGTGCATGATGCTGAGGTCGTTCTCCCGCAGGAAAGGCAGCGCCGACACCGTGATGCTCTTCAGCTTGCACTCCAGCTCCTTGGCCGCCGCCTCCGCCGCCGCCTCGGCGGGGCCGCTGCCCGCTGCCAGGCAGCAACCGGCGAGCAGGGCGCACAGCCCGGCCAAAGCCATCTTGGAGCCCCCGCTCCGCTCTCCCAGCGCCGGCCGGGCGGGGGGGCGGCGGCGGCGAGGGGCGGGGACGCGGGGCCCGGCACCTCCCCGTGCGGCGGGGCCCCGCACGGCACCGGGAGGCTCGGCTCTCCCGGCTCGGCTCGGCACCGGGAGGCTCGGCTCTCCCGGCTCGGCTCGGCTCGGCACCGGGAGGCTCGGCTCTCCCGGCTCGGCTCGGCACCGGGAGGCTCGGCTCTCCCGTCCCCGTCCCCCGCCCCGTTTTTACCCGCATCCCTGGCAAACCGGGAGGGCTGCGGAGCGATGCGGTGGCGGGAGGGGTGCTGGTGCTGCCCGGCCCGGCTTTTGCCTCTTTCTGCACTGAGAATAATCTAGAGGTGCTCCTCCGGGAGAAATCACAGACCTCCAAAATCCCAGGAAAAGTCAGGGACTCCAAAGCCCGCAGGAGAAGTCATGGACCTCCAAAATCCCAGAAGTCACAGACCTCCAGAATCTCAGCAGAAGCCATGGTCCTCCAAAGCCCCAGAAGAAATTACGGGCCTCCCAAGTCCCAGGCCTCCAAAATCCCAGGAGAACTCGCGGACCGCAAAGTCCCAGGAGAATTCCCAGACCTCCAAAATCCCAGGAGAACTCACGGACCGCAAAGTCCCAGGAGAAGCCCCAGACCTCCAAAATCCCAGGAGAACTCACGGACTGCAAAGTCCCAGGAAAAGCCCCAGACCTCTGAAGTCCCAGATTGCCAAAACCCCAGCAGAAATCATGGACCCCCAAAGCCCCAGGAGAAGCCACAGACCTCCAAAGCCCGCAAGCCTCTGTGTTTTGGGGGGAAAAAAAAAAAAAAAAAAAAAAAAAAAAAAAATTGGGAGCGTAAGGGCCAGTCCCAAACCTGCTGGTTCATTTTGCAGCGGATGCTTTTGTATTCTCCTTGTCTTTAAGTGAGCTCAGAGCAGCACTGATGACTTGCCCGGCTGCCAAAGCTTCCTGCAGCCAAAATGTCCTGACGGTAAATGTTCTCCTCGCCCAGCACGGGGCGAAAGGCCCAGGCCCCACCCCAGCAGGGACACGCACCCACGCCGGTTTGGTTTTCCCCATGGAGCAGAGAGGGGACCTGGAAGCAGAGATCCCACCCCACCAGCTCCACGCCAGCTCCTTGTGTGTGGGACCACGGATCCACCTCGCCTGGCACCTCCGAAGAAAACCACACACAGCAGATACCCATTCATTTTTAAAAACCTTGCATTTTTTTTTTTTCCTTTTTGCAAATCTTTCCTCCTCACCTTACAGCACCTGCAGGGATTTCCCCAAATTCCTCCTCCACTGCTGCCAACCAGGGATCTTAACATGCCCTAGCGTGGGCATCACAAGGAGGCAACGCTGTGGCAGAGCCACAGTGGGTGCTTTCCCCCAGACCTGTTTCTGATTTATAATAACCTCCCAGTTACCCACTCCATTTTGGGGAGAAAAAGCCACTCTCACCAGAAATTACCCGTTTTCATTTGCAGTCTCATTAACAATCAGAGCTGAGCGCTAAATATGTAACAGTGAGGGGGTTTTCAGAAGTCAGCTAGTTGGGAAGGTGTTTCAGCAACACTGGTTGGCTGCAGCTGCTGGCAGAAGCAGTAAAAAAAAAAATCAAAAAAAAAAAAAGCAGTGGTGTTTTGAGGATGGGGCACAGCCCTCCTTTTGGGGGTCACAGGGAAACCCCTTTGGAGGGATACTGCTGGGCCCCTTCGCTGCTCTTCTTTCACCAGGGGACACAAATTCACTAAAAGGACTTTTTTTTTTTTTTTCCTGAAAAAAAAAAAAAAAAAAGTGCAGCTGCATTCTTCTGCAGGTGTCCCCACGAAGGTCCCCTCAGCCCCCGTTTGGAAACGGGGTGTGTCCCCAAGAGGGGCCTTACGCTGCACCCAGAGGAGCAAAACGGGGCTTGGTAGGAGGCGTGAATAAGACATACAGATAAATAAAACGTTTTAAAAGAAAACAGCAGAAAATGGTAAATCTCGGGTAACGCCCCACTCGTGACACACCTTGAGCCTCACTGGTGTTGATGGTGTAATTTGGCACAACCTGGATCCCTTTAAAGCCGGTGCCGCCGCACCCCCGCGTGTCCCGGGGGCCTCAAGTCAGCACACACACCCCCACCCACCCACCCACCCACGCACACACACAGAGCCGCCGTGGGGGCACCCACGCGGGGTTTTCTGCGGGGACACGCGGGAAGGAGGGAAGGGAATGGCCGGCGGGGCTCGGAAGCCGTGCGGGCGGCGGAACGGGCGGAGCGCCCACGGGCCGCGACCCTCCGCGCCGGTTCACGCGTGTCCCACCCCCCCCCCCTTTCCCCTCCCTTCCGCCCCGCCCCGAATCGGCACCGCCAATGGGAAGGCGCGGGGAGGCCGGCGGCGCCTTTCATTGGCTGCCGCCCCTGCATATATTATCGGGCGGCGGCGGAGCGCGGCGCGGCGGGACCCGGTGCGGGGCCGGTGGCGGGAGCCCGGTCGCGATCGGCGGTCGCGATCGCGGGATGGTGGCAGGGCCCCCGGGGGCCGCCTGCCCGCCCGGCCATGGGGCGGGGAGGGGCGGGGGGCAGGCGGCGGCGGGCCCGGGCCCGGGGCCGCTGAGGCGGAGCGGAGCGGGACGGGACGGGCCGGAGAAGCGGCCGGTGCCCCGCCGGCGCTGAGCGGCAGCCTGGGGTAAGTCTTGCGGGGGTCGGGAGTGGGAGGGAAAGGTTTGAAGCGGGGGCGGGGAGCGTGGGGACCCCGCCGGTGGGTGGGATGGGGAAGGAGCGGTGGCGGATCCCCGGTGCCGCCGTGGAGGCGACTCGGCCGCCGCCTCGCTCGGTGACCTTGGCCAAGTTGCTGCCCGGCTCCGGTTTGGCTTCTCGGCATCCCCCGCTGAGGATGGAGGGGAGAGAAAAACAACGAGCCCTTCCCGGGTGGGAGCCGCTCCGGTGCGGGGACCGGGAGGCCGCGACCGGCCCGGTGACACCGGGTGCCGGTGGGGAAAGCGAGATGCCCGGGAGGCAGGAAAACTGCTGCTGCTGCTCCTTGTGCAGGGTGCCCCGGGGGTGGGGGGGGGGGGTGGGGGGCGGCTGCGGGAGGTGCCCCCTTAAAATCCCGGCTGCCACCAGCTCTCCCGTGGGAGCAGCGGGCCGTGGGGAGGAGTGGGTGACCTGCGGGATGATGTTTGCTCACCTCCAACGCTGCGTGGGGTTATCAGCGCGGGGCCGGTGACAGCAGCCCCCGGTAACTCGGGGAGGGGTGAGGGGGGGGAATGACGTGCGTGTGTGTGTGTGTTGTCCCCGGCGGCGACCCTCAATTCCCTTCACTATTTTTTTTTAAAAGTAGGAAACAAAACTCTGGCTTTTTAAAGCACCGAGCATCAGCTCTCAGCGCAGGGATGTCCACCCTGATCTGCCCCTTCTCGGGGAGGGAGCCGGAGGGGGGGTGCGGTGGGGTGGCTGCCGTGGGGCAGGGCTCACGGGTCCCGGAGTCGCCCCCCACGGTGGTCCCGGGGCCGGGCAGGGTGATCCTGGGTGCCGTGGGGCCGGGTGGGACCTGCCGGCAGATGTCAGTGTCCCCTCTCCAGCAGCAGCCGGGAGGGTCGGTACCAGCCCCGGGGATGTTGCAAGGGGGCCCCCTCTGCACTTTTTTTTTTTTTTTTTTCCCCAAGCGGAGCTGGTTTTGGTGGGGATTCAGTGACAGTTCTGAGGCGTGGGGGAGCAGCGGGGTGCTGGGGAGAGGGGGGTGGCCCCCCCTCTGACACCCCGTATCTCCTCCCTCGCTCTCCCCAGCACCAGCCACCCACCACCTTATTTACCCTGTGCTGCTACCACCACGCATCACTGCCCACCCGTGACGCCCATCACCTGTGTGGAGGGAGGGGAGGGAGAGGTCCTCACCTTGCACTGCCTCCAGCTCCGGCATTGAGGCTGGTACTCGACTTTGGGGTCCACTGGAGGCGGGGGGAGCCATCCTTTCTGGGGAGGGGGGCTGCAGGATGCTCCGTCCCGGGAAGGAGCCATCCTCTCGGGGGAAGGGGCTTCGAGATGCTCCATCCCCAATCTCGTGTCCAGGGATGATCTTCCCTGGCCCCGGAGATGTGTCCGCAGGGATGCTTCGGGTGAGAGCTCAGCACAAGAACAGGGGAAGCCAACGCTGCTGCGCTGGGTGTGGAGGGGGGGAGTTGTATTTTGCACATTGCTCTTTTAAGAGGCTTTCTGCCCGTGGGTGTGAAAGCCTCGGGTGGGCAAAGCCAGAGGGCAGAACACATGGCGCTGGTGCGACACGCTGCACGCAACTGCTGTCTCCCCTGCTGGCAGCTCGGGCTTCATCTCATTTGACGGCTTATGCAAATCCTCAGCTCCCCGAGTCCTGGGATTTTCTGCTGTTTTCTTTAGCTCTCGTCTCCAAGCGTCTCGCTTTTCAGGATGTGCAGGAAAGCTGATAAAAGGAACCCGATTCATCAAGTCTTGTGGCTCTTTTAAACCAGTCTCACGAGCTGGGGGGGGTGGAGGCGGTGAATTAAAGTCACCTAGCCATAGTGACTGAACGGCTTTTTTGGGGGGGGGGGGGGGGGGTTGGGGGTCTCTGCGGGAGCCTAGCAAAAAGGGGTTCACAGCCACCACCGTCATCTTCAAGGCGGCTGCTGGGGCAGGGATGGTGGGCTCCGGGGTGGCTGTCCCCGCGCTCACCGCCTGGAGCCGCGGCTCCGCAGGCCGGGTGCCAGGCGGCTGACAGCACCCCGCCGTGCCCGCTTTGCCAGCCATTACCGTGCTGCTGTCGCTCCGGCCGGGCCTGGCTCAGCCTCTTAATTACCCCGACGGATCAATGGAGGCCCTGGCGCTTCCTCGGCAGCGTGCGGCTGCGAGCCCGGGCGGCCGCCGCTCGTTGCAAACCGCGACGGGAGGCGGGGGGGGGGGGGGGCAGCGGCGCGGGCAGGGCTGGCTGCGAGGGAGCTGGGGCCCACCAAGCCCCACGAGAGGTTGGTGGCTTTGGAGCCAAGGGGCTGAGCATCCTGCGGGATTGAGCCCTTTGTCTGTCCCTTGGGGGTGCAGGCGGCAGAGCAAAAGGTGCCCTGGGTGCCCACGTGAATGCATATAGGCAGGGCTGCGCTGAGGCAAGCCACTTCAGAGACTAAACTGCACTTAGCCTCTGCCCAGATTCTTTTAAGTGGCCTTAATTTGATAAAGCTTTCCCGCATTTAATGAGAAGGTGACTCAGTCGCTAAGTTTGACGTTCATTCCCACTAACAGGCAGCTCGAGACCCGTCCCCATCGCTCCCTGCTCCCGCACGGGTGCACCTCCGCTCCTGCCGTGCCCTGGGGAGCAGCCCCTGCTGCCTGGCACAGAGGTGGGGTGCTGCTTTTGGGCCAGGTTTCGGCTCAGCATTTACAGGGGGTAGTGCCCGAGTGCTCGTCCCGAGTCCCGTGCTCCCCCCACGGCACCCGGCAAACGCCACCGCAGCCTCTCCCCCACCGCACGCTTCGCAGTTTATGTGTCTCTAGATCCGCTCCTGCAGCACGAAAGGGCAGAAATCAATGTTAATGTCCCTGACAATTAGCTAACGTCTTAATTATCGAACTCAGCCTGATTAGTGGTGGAATGCATGGCTCGGGAGACGCCGTCGGCATGGAAGCAAGCAGGACCGTGGCATAACTCAGCAGGATGTGGCTGCTGTCGCCGTCGGCTCCAAGGGCAGTACAGAAAGGCTTTTGCTGCTCACCCAGCACTCGAGCATCCCCGTCCACACCTTGCACCACCCCGCCTCGGCCTCCCTCGAGCCATTTTGGATGCAGACACCCACCGCAGAAGCAATCCCCCGTTGCCATCTCAAGGGTGGGAGGGGCACCTCTAGAAATCGCAACAGGCTGTTTTTAAGATGCAGCTCGCGACGAGTGACAGTCTGGGCCATGCAGCGGCCATCACCGGAGGGACACCGGGGCGTTCTGCTGCAGGCGACGGGGACAAGGAGGGCTGCAACAAGATCAGGAAGGAGGTTGTGGTCCTAGGAAAGTTTGCCAAGAAATTTGCATTGGCGCTCTTCTTCCTTTTGCCTTAAGGTTTTTATAGAAAGAGAACTGGGGGGAAAAAAAAAAACCAAGCTGGAAGTTTTCCAACTTTTGTGATACTAAATTCTAAATCAAAAAAAGAAAAAAAGGAAAAAGAGTAGTCAGATGCTTCTCATCAAATCTTCATCCTTTTGGATCAAGGAAAAGTGATTAGAAAGTTATTTTCAGCTCTAGTAGTAGAGTCAAGGGGGTTCCTTGTTTCCAAAGAGCTTTGCTCTCCTCGGCATCCAGGAGGATGCTGGTGTGAGCAGAGAGGTGCACCCCGATAAGCATTGCCCCCAACCCTGCAAAATCAGAACTTCCCCCCCCCCCCCCCCCCCCCCCCGCCATCGATATGAACTGAGGACTGTACAGAACTATAGCAACTTCTGCACGTACTTATTTTTCTACCACCCCTGCTCGAGAGGAGCAAATAAATCAGCCGAGCTGCCGGCGGCGCTGGGAAGCTGCTCCTCGGGGACAAGCTTGCCGCCGAACTCCGCGCCGGCTCTCCTGCCCGCCGTGGCTTGCCCGTTCCTGCCGGGCTTGGGGCTTCAAGTCGCTGTTGGCAAGGACGCTGGCGTGCGTCAGCGCCGTCCCCAAGCACGGGCCCGCCTCGGAGGTGCCGCTGCTCAGGGCGTCAAGAAGAGGCAGGTGTAAATAAGAGCTCGTTTAGCAAGGTTGGCAACTGCTGCTTTAAGGGACTCCGCACAGCGGGAGGGGACCTTTTGGATTTGCACCAGCTAAGCCCTTGGAAATACTCGATTCTGACTGTTTTCACTGCTCGGTAGTAAAATATGAGGTGGCCTCAAAGAAATGTCTCGCGTTCAGCCGCGAATCTCAGAATAAGCTTCCCCAGGGAAAGCAGCAGAGCGGGTGGAAATGATTTCTCGCTGGTCTGGGGGCTCCAGCCCAAGGGAAGAGGTGGCCCAGGGTAGCTTCGTCCCTAATATCTGTCCCCATGGTGGTCTTTCAGAAGAAGTTTGCTGCCTTGAGCTGCGGTGCTGGGAGGGGAGGTGGGGGAGGGCGTTTGGAAGGGAAGGACAGCATGGGGAGCCCCTCTTGGGGAAGGCACGTGGGGGTGTCCCCCGTGGTGGTGGCAGCAAGGGACCAGTCAGTGCTGGTGGGAAGCTGTTAGCACCCGGGATGGTTTGCTGGAAGAGACAGTGCTCTGCTTGGTGCTCCCCTCCTCCAAAAAAAAAAAAAAAAAAAAAAAAAAGTCCCCTCCTTGCTTTGAATCAAAGGAAGGATGTTTCCACAGCCTCCTGATTTACACCAGGAAAGGCTCGGGGAGGGCAGCGGGGTGACTGGTGCGAGACCAGCTGTACCAGTCCGTGGTGGTGTGAAGTGGCAGGGGAGGAGGCCAGTCTCCCACAGCGCCCGTGGAAAAAGCATCCCCTTGACTGTACAGACCGGGGTGCAGGGAGGGGGGCGAGCAGCCCCTGCCCCCCCCCCCCCCCCCCGGGCCAGCCCCACCTCAGCTGGAGGTGGTCAGGAACCACCTAAAAGCCACAGACGGTGACAAGGGACAAGGAGATCGGCCGTGCCGAGCCTGTTTGGGGTGCAACAGGCAGGCTACCTAGCACACTGGTTATTTAAGCAAGGTGTTTTGCTGGCACAGCCATATTTAACGCTACAAGCAGCGTGTTTCCATGAGCAGGGTTTAGAAAGATGCTGTTCAAGGATCTTTCTTCTCGGCCAGGTGCCAAAACGCTGCTTCCCTCCTTGCTGTAGGGGAGAGGGACCCCTCCCGGGCACCACAGCTTGTCCCGGCTACCCGGGTCACCCCAGCAGCAGGACCCACGGCCGCAGAGCAGCGGGGGGGGGGTGAGCTGGGAGGGTTCAATCCTGAGCCTTGCGTGCTCCGTCGGTCTTCAGGCCACCTCAATTTTAATTGCATCCCCAGATATTCCTGGGGAGGAGAGCAAAGCGCCTGCCTGCTTCGGGCAGCCGCTGCATCCAGGCTGCCTGCTTTCCCCTGGCCCAGCTTTGGTTACAGGCAGGGAGGATTTTCAGAGCAGCCGAGGTGCCTCAGCTGCTCAGCCATCACCCACACGTGGCAGCGCATGAGCAGCTCCGGGAGCAGCCGGCATCGGGTCCTGCCACAATTCGGGGTGGGAGGGGAGGGGGGGGGAAGACACCCCCCTCCAACACTCGAGGTGCGGAGTGAGGACACCAGCCTGACATTTCCCATCCCTCTGCCCACCCCGATCTGTTTGTTTGGGGCAGGATTTGGGCACATTGTGGCCATGGGGGACTCCACGCGCCAGGAGCTGGAGGCAACGAATGAGGTGTTATGTGGCTGCCTGCAAGGCTGGGAGAAACCAGGGTGAGACGCAGAAAGATAGTGTGTGTGGGGTGGGGGAGACAGAAAAAACCCTGCCTGCTGCTCCTGTCCGCCCCTGCCCGCCCCGCTGCCCCGGCACTCCCAATCTGGTGATGCGAAAATTTCAGCTTTTGTTTAAAATTAACAGGGCCCCAGCCTCGAGGGCTGAGCGAGAAGCTGAGAAAGCGTAATCAAAGTGCACCCTTAAGGGTTTAAAAATAGAAAAGAGGGAAAAAAAAAAAAAAAAAATTGAAAAAATAATAATACATGTTAAAGCACGATGATTCATCAGCAAAGCCCTGTTTGGGAGAACACGGGGCTGGTGTGTGCTCATCAGGGGTGAGCGTTTGGGCTCCGGGCTGCCACTGGCCACCTTCCCAGAATAAAAATCACCTCCCCTGGAAGCACGGCAGTGATGGGGTCCCTATTTTTAGGCAAACAGCTCCTGCTGTCCGGCAGGACACCTCACCTCCTCTCGGCTCTGCTGGACCTTGTAGCTCCCCTTCGCTGGCAAATTCAGGCCCCGGCCCCGGGGCCGCTGCCCCCCAGCAAAGCTCCAGCTTTAATCCCACAGGTGCTGCCATGCTGGGCTATGAGAGCAGAAAGGTCTTGGCTTGACATAAACACCAGTTGCATTCAAAACACCACTGCCAGCCTTGGGGTGGATCCATGCATCCATCCATCATCTCAGCCACTGGTGGGATGCAAAGGAAAGTCTAACATTAACCACACACAGCTCAGTCCATAGAGAAACTAATTTTTTCCAGTTCCCTACATTTATTTTTTTTTAGGCCTCCCCCTGCCCCCGCAAAAAAAAAAAAAACCAAACCAAAAACCAACAAGCTGCACATGCTCATGATGGGCATCCCCAAAGGGCAGGGCGCAGAGACAGCCCGCTGCCCCCGCCACACGGGCACCCCACAGCAGCAAGCTTGGCTCGTCGGGCTGATGCACGGCAGAGAAAAACAAAAAGAAAAAGCCAGAAATTTCTCAAACGGGCACTAGCCAGGCTTTCATTTGACTTCAGCAGCAGCCAGCACCCCTTGACCCCAGAAACTCTTACCTCCTGCGGCACAACCGGAGCGTGGCTCTCCCCGGAGCACCGCTTTCCCTTCAGCAGCATCCCAGCACCCCACTTGCCTTTAGCTTGGGGTCGCACCCGGTTTATATGTGGCACCTCACACGGGCTCCCCCTCTTCCCACGGTGCCGTTGCAGGGCAGGGCTGTCCCGGAGGATCGCCGCGGGGCGAGAGAATGAAGAAGCCGGTCGGGCGGCAGCAGGATGGGGCGGCAGGACCTCCCGCGCGCTGACGGGCCCCCACTGATGCTCCCGTGGCCACTGGCCCTCCTGGCCCTGAGCTCGTGCTGCCCCTGGGGGGTGGCCGGCGGGGCGGGTGGCACGGTGCCCCAGCAGCATGCCGCCCTCGCGACCCCTTCTTCCTCCTCCTCCTCCTCTTCCTCCGGCCGGGCACCCCTCGACTGGCTCCTCACCGACCGGGGACCCTTTTACCGAGCCCAGGAGTACGTGGACTTCATGGAACGCTACCGGCAGGGTTTTACCACCAGGTACAGGATCTACAGGTGAGAGGCCACGGGTGCCCCGGGAGGGAGCTGTGGGCTTTGGGGGGGGGGGGGGGGGGGCAGCGGTGTGGAGGTGCACCCCGCTTTAATCCACACAAGCGGACCCCCACGCGTGGGAGGAGGCTGCCCGTCGGGAGAGACGGCGGGTGGGTGGATGCGAGATGCTGCTTTCCCAGGGGGTATAAGAGCAGCCCCTCTGGATGCTCACGGCACGGCCGGGATGGGCTCCAGGCAGGATTTGCCCTGAGCCAGGAGGGATTTGGAGCGCAGGATGAGATGGGATCAGCCCTTACAGGGCGAGGGACACTCCTTCGTCCTTTTGCTGAATTACTGAGAATTCTCTGTGCTAAATTACTGAGCCTGCCTGGACTGCCAGCCATCTGGGGCTGGGCTGCTGCTGGGGCTCACAAAAGGCCACCCTGACCGACCCCCTAGTACTGTCACCCCATAGACTGCAGCAGTGGGATGCTACACGCCTGGGGGCCAATGCTGGCGGGGAGTTTCTTGCCAGTAGAGAACCAGGTTCAGCAGCAGTGGGGTCCAAGCAAAGGACCACCCCACGACAGCCACCGTGGGAAATCCACTCCACCGCCTCCTGGTGCTAATTGGGGCTGTCACCTCCTGCTAACGAGCCCCTTTTCCTTTCCTGTCCTCACTGGTGCCAAGCCCCCAGGGGTTCCCAGCAGCAGAGCAAAGCCAGACCGCTGCCTCCCCGGGGGGGGGGAGCTGACATCGGTGCCGGGATGGCAGCCTCGTTAAACAGCCCGGCACCCCCAGAGAGCCCCCCTTCTCCCTTCACCCCTTTCCTAGACGCTGCCATGCCGAGGGACCCGCACCCTCCAGGGATGCTGCTGATGACGGTGGTGGGACGGGAAGGAGCAGCCGGAGGGGCAACAGCTGGCACGGGGGCTCGCTTTGCCCGTGGGGTGGAATTGAAGGGAGGGGATGAGGGGGGTGGAAATGATACAGGGGCTCCTGGCCCTGCGTGCTCCTGCACCCAGGGAGCGTGAGTGCGAGGGGAGAGGCAGCATCCTCCCCTCCCTCACCCCCAGCTCCACTCCTGGCCCAAACAACGCACTTTCTGGGCCCAAAAATCACAATGGGAGGCCGCCCGGTACCCATTGAGCCCCTCGCCTGCTTTGCACCCTTCCACCCCCCCCTCCTCTTCCCTTTCCCTCCTTTCCCAACCAGCCCTAATTAAAGTGTCTGAAAGCTGCCACCTGGTTTTAATTAGAGCAAAATGCCAAAGATTAGGCTGAAATGGGCCGCTGGTTGGTCGAGGCAGCAGCAGGCTGGCAGCTCCCCCCCCCCCCCAGTGCCAAGTGATGCTGGGGGAGAGCTGGTGGGGCACGTTCGCAGGCTACGAGGGGACTCACCACCCACCCCACCACATCCCAAACGCCTCCAGATTCCGACAAAACGCTGCCGATACTTAAAAACCACAAAACCCCCAGATGTCAGATCTTCACCGGGATCCGCAGGCAGGGGGATGGGGCGATGGATGAGGCCCGTCCAGCCTGATGGGCTGGAAAAAGCTCTGGCCCTGCCCTGGGCTGTGATTAATGTCCGCTGGAGGTGCCTGATTAATCAATATCAGGCGTCTCCACTGCTTGTAGCTCGTTATCCCCATCGATGGCTTAGGGAGGGATGATGCTTCTGTCCTGGCTGGATGTGTAGCTGGTGAGCACACAGCAGGTCCTTCCCCTCTGCCATGGCGATGGGGAGCTCAGGATGGTCCCCACGGGAGTTTTTCCACCTACGGATCCCCTGCCCCGAGGTGGAAATTGGGGACAGCATGCATGTGGCACGGTCAAACGGGCTTTGAACCCTCTCCCCGCCGCCGCTCTCCCCCGGCAGAGAGTTTGCTCGTTGGAAGGTGAATAATTTGGCCTTGGAGAGGAAAGACTTCTTCAGCCTGCCGCTTCCCCTGGCCCCCGAGTTCATCCGCAACATCCGTCTGCTGGGACGCCGACCCAGCCCCCAGCAGATCACCGACAGCCTCATCAAAAAATATGGGACCCACTTCTTGCTCGCCGCCACGCTGGGAGGTGAGTGTTGGTGGGTGCTCGCCCCCCCACTCACACAAGGTGGTGTGCAAGAGGGAGGGTGGGAAAATAAGCACGGCAGGAGAAATATGGCCAAGAAGGGGAATGGGGAGAGCCCAGCAGCCCCCCAAAAGCATTGATGTGTTCCCCTCCAGGAGAGGAGTCCCTGACTATTTTTGTGGACAAGCGCAAGCTGAGCCGGAGGGCAGAACCCGCCGGGGGGGCTGGGAACAGCTCGGGGGTCTCGCTGGAGACCCTGCACCAGCTGGCAGCCTCCTACTTCATCGACCGGGAGAGCACGCTGCGCCGGCTCCACCACATCCAGATAGCCACGGCTGCCATCAAGGTAGGAGAGGGCAGCGCAGGGGGGACAGCAGCCCCTCAAAGGTGGCCAAGACCCTACAGCAGCACCGTCCCCCCCCCCAGGGGAGGGGAGAGCAGGCAAAGTTAGGACATCTGCCTTATTTATGGGAAATTGGGCGGGCGCGCTCGCTAAGGAAGGCACATTTTTCAGCAGGCTGCAGGCAGGGCTGCCGCCTGTCAAGAAGCCAATTAGCAGGCAATTAGTTCTCCTCTCCAAGCATCCCCTGGTTAAAGGGAGTGGGGCACACGGCCAGCCTGGCCAGGGGTTATTTGCAGCACTTCTGGTGGGGTGGCGCGCACCCTGAGTCCCCTCCCGTGTCCCTGAGCACCCCTGGGTCCATCCCCTGTCCCCCCCCCCTCCCCTCTTAGGTGACCGAAACACGGACGGGGCCACTCGGCTGCAGCAACTACGACAACCTGGACTCCGTGAGCTCCGTCCTGGTGCAGAGCCCCGAGAACAAAGTGCAGCTCCAAGGTAGGACCGAGCTGGTGGGGACGTGGGGACGGACAAGTGCCACCGTGGGATGCTTGCGGGTGCGCAGGGGGGATGGTGGCTCGGAGATGCTGCTTTTAATTTAAGAGCCGGGGAGGAAGAAGGGGGATGAAAATAATCAAAGCTGGGCAGGATGAGGTTGTTGCTTGTCTGCCAAGAGGAGCCAAGATCGATGCGGAGCCCAGACAAGCGGCTCCATGGCAAATTGATAGGAAAACCACGCGAGGGTGGGAGCCCGGGGAGGGGCAAGGCTTGCTCCCTCCTCAGCTGGGCGATGTTTTGGAGGGGCCCTGCGCGCGCCCTGATGCTCTCGGGGCTGCCTCCCGCTCGCAGGGCTGCAGATGGTTCTCCCTTCCTACCTGCGGGAGAGGTTCGTGGCGGCCGCCCTCAGCTACATCGCCTGCGGCTCGGCCGGGGAGCTGGTGTGCCGCCGGAGCGACTGCCGCTGCCAGTGCCAGCCCGCCTTCCCCCGCTGCAACTGCCCCGAGGCCGACGTCCAAGCGCTGGAGAACAGCCTGGCCCAGCTCCGGCGAGCCTGGGAGAGCCACCACGGCCAGTTCGAGGAGTCAGGTGAGGTTGGGGAGACCCCACCGAGCATCTCCTTCCCTTGCAACCCCTCCCGCGGTGGGGCTCCGGGGCGGGATTAAGGTGGTCATCTCGCCGTGAAGACCCGAGAGCCTGGGTGGAGGGGGGTTGCCTCCAGCCCTACCTTCACCGCTTGCTCTCCTGGGTCTGCTGATGCCGCCCCTCTCCCCGCGCAGAGGAGTTTCAGGCGCTGGTGAAGAGGCTCCCCGGGGACCGTTTCCTGAACAGGACAGCCATCTCCCACTTCTGGGCCATGGACCTGGATGTCCAGCATCGCTACCAGCAGTTGGGCACCAGCCTGAAGCTGCTGTCCAGGAAAACCCACCGACTCATCCGGCGGCTCTTCAACCTCAGCAAACGTTGCCACCAGCAACCTCGCTTCAAACTGCCGAAGGAGAGGTAGGGTGCCACGGCGTCCCCGTCCCACGCTGCTCAGAGCCTCAAGAGGGGCTCAGCCCCACGGCCCACCTCCCCGTGCCTGGAACTTGGAGGAGCTCCCGCCTTGCTGGAGGGGGGTGCCCAGGGGTGAGCAGGCAGCCGTGCCGCCCAGGGATGTGGCCCTGAGAAGCTGGGTCCCAGCCTGGGGGTGGCAAAGGGGGGGCTGGGTTCACGGAGGGGGTGGGGACACAAGTGAACACAAGGTGGGAAGCTCCTCGGTCCCGTCTCAAAAGACGCCCTGTAAGCACCTCTCATCCTGTGTCCCTTCTCCACCAGGTCCCTCCCTTACTGGTGGAGCCGGGCACAGTCGCTCCTGTACTGCGGCGAGACCTCTGTGCCAGGGACCTTCCTGGAAGAAAGCCACAGCTGCACGTGTCCCCCCGACCAGCCCTCCTGCCAGGGCTCCGTACCGTGTGCCTTGGGCGAGGGGTCAGCCTGCGCCAGCTGTGCCGAGGACAACAGCACCCGCTGCGGGACCTGCAACCACGGCTACGTGCTGGCCCAGGGCTTCTGCCGCCCCGAGGTGGCCGACTCGCTGGAGCACTACCTGGGGCTGGAGACCGACCTGCAGGACCTGGAGCTCAAGTACCTCCTGCAGAAACGGGACAGCCGCATCGAGGTGCACTCCATCTTCATCAGCAACGACATGCGCCTGGGGAGCTGGTTTGACCCCTCCTGGAGGAAACGCATGCTCTTGACCCTGAAGAGCAACAAGTACAAGCCCGGGCTGGTTCACGTGATGTTGGCCCTCTCCTTGCAGATCTGCCTCACCAAGAACAGCACGCTGGAGCCTGTCATGGCCATCTACGTCAACCCCTTTGGGGGAAGCCACTCGGAGAGCTGGTTCATGCCCGTCAACGAGGGCAGCTTCCCGGACTGGGAAAGGACTAACGTAGATGCCTCTGCCCAGTGCCAAAACTGGACGCTCACCTTGGGCAACAAGTGGAAGACCTTCTTTGAAACGGTCCATGTCTACTTGCGGAGCCGCATCAAGTCTCTGGACGACAGCTCCAACGAGACCATCTACTACGAACCCTTGGAGATGGCAGATCCCTCCAAGAACCTGGGGTATATGAAAATCAACAGCTTGCAAGTCTTCGGCTACAGCCTGCCCTTTGAACCCGATGCTATTCGCGACCTGATCCTTCAGCTGGACTACCCCTACACCCAGGGCTCCCAGGACTCGGCCATGCTCCAGCTGTTGGAGATCAGGGACCGGGTGAACAGGTTGTCACCCCCTGGCAAGACCCGCCTCGACCTCTTCACGTGCTTGCTCCGCCACAGGCTCAAGTTGGCCAACAACGAGGTGGTGAGGATCCAGTCGTCCTTGAGGGCCTTCAACGCCAAGCTGCCCAACGCGGTGGAGCAGGAGACGGGCAAGCTGTGCAGCTAACAGCCGGGGCCGCCCAGATCTCGGAGCGAGGGGGCTGGGAGAAAAGACTCCCCAGGGTTGGAGGTGGGGGGGGGGGGGGGGGGGGGTGGGGAGGGGGCATAAATAACCACCCTAAAAAATTAAATCAAGGCCTTACCTTAGTGCCAACCGCGTGCTTCCATGGTACACCCAGAGACTGGCCAAAGAGATGCAGCGCTCGAGCGGACGGAGGACACCAGTGGGAGCAGGGGTGGCTCACGCAGCGCAGACGGGCTCCGAGCGCGGGGACGATGCCGGCACGGCCGCCCCGTCGGTGGCTGGGGGGGGGGTGCACCCGTGGCCGGGGGGGACGTGGCCTGGCCAGAGGCAGCTGCTGGTCCCGCCGGAGCAGCTGCCCAACCCGCCTTGAGGATCCTCCAGCGGCAGCCTCCTCGGCATCCCAACTTTTGTAGTCTTTTTAAGAGAGGTTTCTACCGGCACCTTCGCTTTTGCATTCCCCCGTGATCCTTCCTTCAGCCATGCCCTCACACAAGGTGTGGGGAGGGGGAACCACACCATAGCGGCCCCCCCCCCCCCCCCGCCCCCTCCTCCGAACCCAGATCATCTCCCCTGGGGCCTCTCCACGAGCATCTCGCGCCTGCTGCAGTACCGAGGCATCGTCACACCTCGCGTGGGAAGGATCTGGCACCCACCTTGGGGACACTGCCATCACAGACACTGGCGGAGACCCTCTGGGCTGCAATTCCTTACAGGAAAAAAAAAAAAAAAAAAAGAAAAGAAACCTAAAACAAAAGAAAGAAAGAAAGAAAAAAAAAAAGGTTTTATTTATGTATTTATTTATTTGTTTTGTTTGGGAAGGGTTTTTTTAAGCTTATTTATTCGGGGAGTGTCATTTCTTGTTGGTGGCTCCAGCCAAGAGACATCTTAGTAAAATGTATCTGTTTAATATATTTTTTAAAAAATGCCTTTTTTGAGCATAAGAGCAACCAAAACCAACTGAGATTAAAAAAAGAAAAAAAAAAAAAATAGTTACTGTCATCTCTGGCCCTGGCTTTTCCCTTGCTGTGCGGCACGAGGGGATGGCGAGGAGGCTCCCGTGCGTGTCCAGCTGCCGTGTTCCCCCCCCGTGTCTCCGCACCATCCTGCTCTCTGGATTTTAGCCAAGCCTCCCAAGGAGGGGAGATGCCACCACATGGGCTGGCCATCTGTCCCCTGTCCATGTCTTCATTAACTCGGAGGGACGGGGCTCCGAGGTGGCCCATTAAGTCTATCAGCTGTGCCTGGAGCCAGGGAAGGATCCTGCCCGCACCCAGCAGCTCCTGCCCGCCGTCCCTGGGCTCTCGCCCTTGCTCCCACCGGGGTGTCTGGAGCTCCCCAAGCTGGTGGGAAGGACCCACGTGGCACCAGCCACGTCTCGCGCCCAATCTCCTCCTGGTCCCACGTAAGCATCCAGCAGACCTCAGGGTGAGCAGTGCTGCGGCTCGCCTGCCCGCTGCGACACACGCCACCTCTTTGGGCCTGTCAGGGAGCTTCACTGGATGACCCTTAGCTCCGGCGTGGGAAGGGACGGGGGATATCTGACCCCCAGCCAGACTTTCCGACCAGTTCAAACTGTACAGGCAGGCATGCCAGTCACCTCCATGTCCCAGCTCTAGTGCTTGGCCCCCGTATACGTAGGTTGGTCCATACTTCTGCTGCCTTCATTGACCTCCTCAAAGCCTTCTCGTTCACTACCCTCTTAGAAAGGGCCCCAAACCAGGCACAACCCACCCTGGACACCTCCCTCTGCTACACCCAGCGCAGGCATCAAGGGGCAGGAGGTTTCCCGGAGGCCAGCATCTCGCTGCTCGGGGAGCCGGCGGCACCTCCAGTTCCTGCTCCGCTCGGCCCGGGGAGCCGGGGTGAAGAGCAGGGTGGTGGGGACAGGCGAGATGGCAGCCGGCAGCTCGGTGGAGCCCGGCTCCCCTCCCTCCTTCCCCGCTGCTGCCGCGCTCGGGGCCTGACCGGAATATCAAGCAGCGGCGCTGCCCGGCTGCTGGGTGGAAAGGCTGGGTATCCAGACGAGCCGAGCTCACCGCTTTGGCGGCTGCCCTGATTTCCTGGCTGAGGACAGGCTAGAGAGAGAGAGAAAGGAGGCAACCTCCCGACCCGCAGCATCCCCCAAGCGAGGGGTGTGAGCAGAGGGGGTGGGCAGGGCGCACGGAAAAGGAGAAAAAAAAAACAGAACAAAACAAAACAAAACAAAACCCCAAACATGTATCAGTGTGGAGATCTGAGCCTGCTTCCTGATCTTCCCTGGCTGGCAAAAATTGCCTGCTTGGATGCTGCAAAAGCGGTGGTAACCCAAAATCATCCATCCTGCTTCTGTCACCCCCCTATCCCCTCCCCCCCCCAACCCATCCTTGGGTTGGACAGATAAAGAGATAAGTGGGAGGAAAATAACACCAGGAGAGATAAAGAGATAGGCGAGAGGCAAATAAAACGGGGGTAGATAAACCATGCTTACTATTTATATTCCCTGTCTAATCTATCAATCCATCAGGGCAGCTATTGTGGTTGTAGCATCCCTCAATCTGTCACCTGGACTTCTCTTCTCCATACATCTGTCTTCCTTTGCCCACATCTCCTCCCCTGTCTCCCAGTCCTAGAGGGAAAAAAAAAAAAAAAAAAAAAAAATCAGGCAATTAAACACACCAGAAGGAAACGAGGAGTCAAAGCCATCATCTCAGCTCCCTGGGGGAAGCTGGCAGACATCTGCCTGGGGATGAGGAGGGTACAGGCGGGACGGCCAGCAGTGCTGCCTGCTCCTGAGCAGGCAGGGCTGCCCGGAGGCTTCCCGGCTAGAAAGACCATTTTGACTTCCACTACACATCTTTCTGGGTATGTCACATTGCTTCTTCTCCCCACCATCACGCGGGCCATGGGTCGGGCTAACGTTCCTCGGCTCCATCCTCTGTCTCTTCTGGAAAGAGCATTCCCTACCACGCTTTTTGGCACCCTTAACCAGCCACACATCCTAAAGCCACCTGAATGTGAATGCGAGAGCCGTCGGGATGACTGGCAGCATCTCGAGGACCTGCTGGCCAAAACATGGTGGAGAAGCTTCTACCCGGCGGGGGGACTGACCTCCAGGCTTCTCTGCCTCAGTGCTGGCTCCAGAGGCAGGCAGGTGATGCCCTGAGAGTCCCCCACTATTTACTTTCAATTTAATGCAAAAAAAAAAAAAAAAAAAAAAAAAAAAGGCAAAAAGGGGCAGACAGGCAGCTGGAGGGATGCACCATCAACTCTTCGCATCCTTGGCAGTTGCCCCCCAGGCTGGCAGGCAGAGCGGCGCCGGAGCCTCCCCTCCCCGCAGCCCACCAGCAAGATACCATCACGTATTGCCCAAAAGCACCGGGTCTTGGCCCAAATCTCTGATTCCCAGCAGGAACGAGGCCACGCGTGGCTTGCCCTGCCCCGCACGGCGCCTTTTCGGCTGAACGCCCCATCGGGCACCGCAGGGGCCAGCGGCTGAAGAGCAACGAGCACATCCCTGGCCACCGGCCCCCCACGCTGTGGGGCTGCACCACCTCTTTAACTGAGTGGAGGAAAAGATGGGGGGGATCCCTGAATTTTGCTGCTAAATTGTGGGAGAGAACCACTTCCACCTTTTTTTGGGGTAAGCGGGTGAGTTGAAGGAAGAGCAGCAGCAGCAGCGTGTCCCCGCTGGGGAGGGGACTGCCAGGCTGCATGTTAATCTCGGGTGGAAGCAGCCAGGTCCTCCCATCCCTGTTCAGCAATTAAGACGCTCAGTGGAGGTGATTAAGAAGAAGAGGTTAATAACTGGAGGTCAGCATTTGATTACCTTGCAGCGCTTTCCCCTCCAAAGAACGACGCCGGCACCAGCGGGGCTGGCCGGAGAGTCACTGCTGCGCAGCGCCGGCAGGATCTGGCCTCTGGATGCAAAAAGCCAGTGCCAAACCCACTAGTTTTTTTTTTTTTAAAAAAAACTGGTGCGTTTGGGGTTATCCTTACCTGGGGTCTGGTTTGCAAGGCCCTGCATTTATACAATATTCCCTGCAGCATGAAAGCCAGGAAGCTGCCTTTTTTAATAATGAGCCGAGCTCCTCACCCACTTGATTGCGGACACTCCGGTTCCCTCTGGACACATTTATTTAGCAGCTCTGCCGGGGAAAAGGAGGCCAGGGAAAGGTCAGGCTGTTTCACCCCCAGCTCCAGCAGCAGGACAGGATTATCCCCAGTGCTCTTCCCCAGCATCCCTGCTCACAGCTCCCAGGTAGGGGTTGGTCCCATCTCCCGGCCCCAAGACAGCTGGTGATGGGCTGTGATCAGCTACATCTGGAACCAAATAGCTCACAGCTCCAGCTACCTAACCTACACTCTTTTTCCCCTCCTGTGTTTTCACTCCTTTCCCGCAGCACCAGCTGAGCCTCCAGCCCTGTGTGCCACGGCGTTGTGCCTTTGGCCTCACTGCCAAGAGCATCGCCGCATCAGGCTGTGCTGAAATAGCAAGGACAGTTTTGCCGTGAAGATCCGGGATGGAGAGAGGCCGTGGGGCTAAATCTGCATCCCTGCTCCAGCCTGCCTCAGTTTCCCCCCTCATAGCTCCCAGCCGATGCAGCGTCAGCCCAGGAGAAGAGCATGGGATGCACAGCAGGTAAAACATCACCAGGGGAAGGATGGAGGGCTGGAGAGGCTCCAGGTAACACACTTTTCTGGCAGATACTCTTTTTCTTTACATGCAAACAGCACACAGGTGCAGATTTCACTTGAAATCCATGGTCTCTGCCCTCTTGGTTCGGGCTGCAGGATGGGCAAGAAGTAGAAATCAGACATTTTTCTTGGTGGGAGGCTTCACGCCGAGTGTTTCGCTCAGGGCTCCTCCGGCTTCTTTAGCTGCACAGAACCTCCAGGCAGCTGCCAGCGGAGCTGTTTTGCTGTCTGACAGCATTTCTGGGGGAGGCAGGTGATGGAAAGGTGCCTGCAGATCTCTCCACCCCAGTATGGGGCTGCACCAGCTTTTTTCTTACAACCCGGTTTCGCCACGGGTACCAGGGACGCTCCTGGGCACGCGGGGGATCGCCCTTTGCTCTCCCGACTAATCAAGCAGACCGTGGGATGCCATCCCTGGGA